ATATTGTATTGGATTATCTGTAGTTAGCTTTCGTTTTTCTTTAAGTAAAAGAGATTCAAAGCCTAAAACTGTAGGCCTTGGAAAACTTTGTCGAAGAATTTCTCCAAGAACAAAACTAGCCCCTGGGGGTGGTGGTAAGTTATGTACAAAATTCCTAAGTGGGAGATTATACTCGTGCAAAAAAAAAAAAACACAAAAAACGATGTAGTGCATTTCGATTCGATTTCACTGCATGGTTTTTATTATGGGAGAAATTATCATCATTTCGAATAAAAAATAATTGAAGATTTTTCCCCGATCTTATTTTTACCCTTCAGTTTCATTCAAATTGTTCTCCCTGTGACTTCCGTATCGGGAGCTCCGCTTTTAGGCAGTGCCTAAATATATATATTATGATATATATATTATAACCACATAAAATATCAGCAACGGAGGCTAACAGCACTGCCAGTTTAGGCCCTGTTCACACTAGAGCCAAAAATTGGGTTTACTTTACCTCTTACCAAAAAAAAACTTTGCAAGTACTGTATCCTCCAAGTTTTTAGGACAACACAGAGCATAGTACATAATGATGACAAAGCTGCTCAAGATTTAGGCATGGAACTAGGGGTTGAGAGGGAGAGAGCATATAGAATGGCAATGACAAACCACGTGAAAATGCTATCTAAAATGCCATATTGTGAAAAAAATCAAACTAAAGAAATACCATAACTAAAGATTGTAATACCTGAGCTATTCTTGCATTTTTACTGCTGACTGGTGTGTGCTGTATTCCCCTAACACCAAACAGTTTTGCCACAGCCAGTGGTTCCTCAAAATAACCATCGATAAATACAGTCACTTTATCAGGCTTTGCTCCCACCGCAGACAACATTGGCCGTAACATCCTGTACAAGTAATGAGGTCTGTTACTAGCTATCACTGCTACTGGAAGCTCAAGCTGTTGGTTATTAGGAAGAGACTCTGCTTTGATGTCGATAGCTGCTGGGTTTGAACCTAAGGATAGAGCACATATGGAATTAATAATGCCTTGTAACATCAAAGATATGCCACATTTGGAATGGTCTTTTAAAAATGACAACAACAACAACATAAAAACCACGTCAACAACATTTTCATATGTCTTTATATATTTTTTCATTTATATCTTTTATGTACCATAGTTTTTATGTTAAGTATTACTTAAAAGTATTAGTATCTTTACACAAGTTAATATTATCATTCTGGCGCACCTAATTGTTCACAATTTACGGCTTATGCTGTTATATTCACCCCTGGGTGATTATAAAAAGCACGCTCACGCTCGTTTGTCCATGTTTGATGCTTGCAGAGATAGATAAAAATTGAAAAAAAAAAAAAAAAAAAAGAAAAAGAAAAACAACAGCAACAACTACAACTACAACTTTGTCGTTATTTATTAAATTCACTTGTATTAAGAATTCTAAAACAATTATTTGCCTCAGGCTCAGTGAATATCTTGGCATATTTGCCTCACCATTTGAAGACTCGAGCCTCGGTAAATACTCCCCGATATTTACTTCGCCTTTGGCGAATGATAGTAAAATGTTTACATACATAAGCATCATGGTGTGTCAGATGCACAGACCCGAGCATTGTAAACTACTGCCGAGTATGTTGTACTTATTTAACGTTTGGGTAGATCATTTAATTTGCACCGAACTTTTAGCTATTTTTTTTAGATAGCTCAGGATATGCGTGTTTTCCGATGAATTCAGACCACACGTCATTCCCATCAAAATATTATTGTTTGTTTGAGGTATACAGTGTAAAAGTGTGTCTTCTCATGCACAACTGTTTAAACAAAGAAATGGTTCTCTAGGGAATGACAATTGGTCTGAAATAGAAAATCATTATACCCAAGCTAAAAACGTCTACATTTTTTTGCAAACCAAAGGCGAATGATTGTTGAAATTAACCAAATTTGCATTTTTAAAATTACTGCGTTTCCCTAATTAACTCTAATAGATACTTACAGCTGCATATACTTCCATATCCTTCATATTTACTACAAAAGTCTTTCCGTCTTCTATTGCCCTCTGTATCTTCCCAATGACACTCACTCTCTTCCACCAACTGCAACGGTACTGCCACCTCAAAAGAAACAGGCTCAGCCCAGGTGTCACGCGATTTTGACTTTTGAAAGCCTTCTGCATATCTTTTTCCTTTCTTCTGAACAWCAAAACCCCAAGTGTCACGCCAGCCAAAGCGGCTAAAGTTCTCACTTCCAAGAGTACTCATTAAATTTCTGGCATTAGTTTTTAAAGACATTGAACCTTCATCCTGAAAGCCAAAAATGAATTATGATAGGATTCATTTGAGGATTCATTTGAGATTCAGAAGAAGATCCGGGATATTGATAATTATATTATTTTTATTTTTATTATTATTTAAGATTATTAATTACARTACAGATGATGACTATTCAGACCGCCCAATGAGACAGGAAATCATGCATTATAGTGAAGCCAAGCAATTGTACCATCCCACCATGGCTTTGATAATGTTAAGGCAAACCCTCTATAACAAACAAGGARTATATTTACCTTCACTGTAAAGCAAATGATTCGTCCATCTGATACATTATTGAGAAAGAACACCATTTCATCAGAGTCATCTTTCCAAAAGCAGGTATCAAATGTTCTGTTGGCCATCACTGCACCGGTGGCTTGGTTTAAGACCACTGCACTTATGCCACGCCCCTTTTCTGGGTCAGTTGCTTCTAAAACCTATTAGTTTATAATCAAAACACCAATGGAAAATAAATTCAGTCACTCCTGTCAAGCTATATTATATATTAAATTGCCTTAAAGTACGTTAAGGCAATTCTATCTGAGTTCTTATGAAATCAAATTACTTTGTAATTAGGTTTCAAATAAGATTTAAAATGCCTGTAGAAGTTTATGTCTATTTTCATGATTATTGATAATATTTGACAAAGGAACTATATATTGGGTATTTATTTACTGCCGGGCTCTGTGTCGTGTGTGAGTAGAGTTGCTCATTGGTTCTAGCTATCCTGTGTTTTGTGGGTTTTTACTCCATTGGAATTTCAGTGGATGAAAAGCCACTGCTGTCTGTGGAAAGCCACGTCTTAATACCAAAATTTATTCATTTATTTTATTTTTTAGTTACAGTATAGCAGAAATGTCTAGTTTCTCAATCATGCTTTTGCAGTCTGTGATCATGGTATCATATAAATGTATCACAAATAGCAACTCATTTCACAAGCCATACCTTTGTCCCATCAACTGTTATGACAGCTGAGTCGTTGCTTGAATAAATTTGAATATGAATTTTATGCTTCTCATGTTCTTCATTTGGTTTCACTAAGAAATAAAAATAGAGAAGTTTTAATTAGTGGAATTGTTTCATTATACAGCACTGCAATTTTCAATATATCAAAGCTTACTCTCAGTAGTTTTGAGTATCCTTTGCAGTTTGATATTTCGCTGTCACCAATGTAAAAGGTAGTGACTTCAAGATTGATTTTCACTTGACAGCAGCAGAAAAACTAATTTCAACATGCAGCTCTGGCACCTATGCGTTTGCATAATATTGAAAACTGCTATCATAAGGGAAATGGTGGATTTTAATCAAAAGGTTACATCAATTTAAAGAAACCATCAATAAAAACAATTGCAAGGATAAGAAAGAAACTTTGCATAACCAAGGAACTATTACTTTTGATTTTAAAGAAATATACGTATTCTCATTTGGCCAAATAGTTTTTTCTACTAGCAATGCAGCTGCTAAAGTACATTGCAGGGGTTCAACAAAATTTAAAAAAGGCTTTTCAAGTATCTTGCCTCAAACAAGTCAGATGCTCCCAATATTTTATTATGATTAGTAATATAATAGTATGCTAGTAATTTTTTAATAAATTCTAGTTTGCAAACCCTTTTAATGTTTGGCCATTGCAGGAATGATCCCGCTAATTTCCGTCTCATTTTTTTTCACCATCAGAATTATGCTATAAATCCCTACTTTCCCAGGACTGCTAAGTTGTGGAATAGCCTCCCACATTCCTTTAAATATGCTATAACTGTTCCACAACTCAAAAGTCTTCTTTTTACGCACAACAAATTTAAGTTTTTTACCGACCGCCATAGAGTAGTGCATTATATAATATGATAGTAATATTTGTTCTTTATACATTTTTGAGTTTTTCTAAAGTTTTAAGCTTCACATATTTTATCTTGTTTTCCTGAACTATGTAAGGGGTCGAATTTCAATTGGGGTTACCACCTTATTCAGGGGCGGCGGAAGCTGAAAAAATTTGGGGGGGCACTCCAATATTTCACGGTACCTTGAAATGACCCCCCCCCCCTCCTCCCTGTTTAGCTTGTTTACAAACGTGTATGTGTGATATTTCAATCAGTAACATTTTGCGCGCATTAAACCACGTACTTGCAATTGTGCTGAGAGACACAAAAATGATGCAAGTCGTCGCTAGATATATCGTATATTTTTTAGATACAGAAAATTATGTAATATCAAAATAATAAATAATGGTAATCATAACCAAATCTCATGCGTTTTTTTTTTTTTTTGTGTGTGAGGCATTATATTCTGGGGGGGCCAGGCCCCCCCAAAAAATCTAGTGGGAGGGGGGGGCCTTTTCCCCCCCGGGCCCCCCGCTTCCGCCGCCCCTGCAGACCTGTGAAAATTTTAAATATAGTAAGCATAATACATAGAATTTGATACTAATTCCATTGTTTTCTTTTGCCTTTTAAATAAAATGCACTATTAGAATCTAGGATAATATTTGAAAAATCCAGTTAAATTTACGCAGTAGTTTTGCGAAGCGAGCGAAAATAAAATTGTCCAAAATTCGCTCTGAATTAGTTCGGTTCCACCTTAAGCAAAACGATCTCATCAATCGCCCTTTGAGTTTTATATCTCTGAGGCCTAACACCAATTTTTTCGTCAGGCAGGACTCTTCTTYGTCACCGAGATCAGATTTTTTGCAAAAGCGCTTCGAGAGCACTGCAGTATTCATCAACAGACTCTCCGTCCTTTTGATTTCTCTCGATAAATGACTATTGAAATTGTTGGAACACAATGGCTCAAAATAAGCTATAAACTTTCAACAACTGAATCTTAGTAGCGACTAGTATTTTCTCAGTCTTTTCTTCAAGTCAACTAGCGACTTTATTGTACAGGTCCCACGAACCCTTCCATTTTCTCCAGCACTCAGATCTATCTTTTTCTTCGCTCGATCTCTGAGCTTGAGGCGGTTTCAGGTGCTTTATGTGTCTTATTTTCTATCTTTTAGTTCTGACACCATGACTTAAACACACAACATGGCGGGGTTCATAACGAAGCAGCCTTTAATATATTAATATGCAATGCCCATTAATTCAAATGACTAATTCGTGGAGCTCGTCGTACATATTTCTTAAAAATATGAATAAATAGAGAATTTAACTACAAGTTCATCTTTTTAAAACTGGCATAGCATTAAAATATTTATCTTTTCCTTACTTGTTTTCTCGAGTGGTTTCCTGTCCTCATACGCTTCCTTCTCCAACTTGACATTATTTTCTCTAGTCTTGGCTGTCGTATCGTTCAGAATTAATGCTATAGCTACACATAAAACTACGAATAGAATGCATAGAAATCCACTTACAGGTCCCCTTAATCTCTCTCTTTCTTGTTCGCGTAAACGAGGCATATTTTTACAATGAATATTGAAGATCTGTTATTCTAGTAGGTAGAGTCGTTGTTGGCATCTGTAGTGGTATCTGGAAGGATCTTTTCTGGCTACCAACTTAGGGAAAAATTCCATTAGGCACCCTCAACGCAATTGACGTCATTACGCACATCGCCTTAGCAACTAAGCGAATTCGAACTTGCATCGGCAAAAAGCTAGTTGAAAGCATTGAAATTACTTGTAAATCTTCGTTTTGTGTTGCTGTTAAAGGGCTTTCTGTAAGTAAAACTAAAATAATAGCAAAGAATTGAATTGGATTACCTTAAGTGAACGTCGCCATCGCCATCGTTGCATTGCAGTTTTTAAGTATATTAATAATTACATAGATTATGATTTCGATTTCTTAACAAATAAATCTATTTATAAAATAAATTAAATAGTACGCACGCTGTGATTGGTTGATAGCCATGTTTGCATGAGGATATGTAAACACAGTTGTGACGTCACAACTTTCGTGTTTTCCCGGTACAAGTTCAAAAATTAAAAATTTACAGTTTCTTTCGAGGAAAAAAACGCCCCCAAAAATGTATTTTGAAGACGAAGTTCCAAATTTTGACTTGTGAGTAGTATAGGGGATGGGGGTTCCAGCGCAACGACCACCGGAGGATTACCCGTCTAAAGTACCCCCCTCGATTCGTACCGCGATTACCCGCATCCCGAGTTTATGTAAAATATGTTAGTCTATATATGGAGTGCGAAGAATGTAAAGAGTTTGCTTATGATTTCTGTGTA